AACAAATGCACGAAATTTTTGGGAATTAACTCAGGTCCGGGGAATTTTCGATGACTGGTAAAAGCGGCCAGTTGTTGTCTTTTGTACAAATAAGCAAACGAAGCAGGCGAGTTTCGCGTACGCAGTAGCCGAATGGTGAGAGTTGCGGGCTACAAGCCTGTAGCTTCCAGGTTCGATCTTCGTTTGGAGCGATTGCGAAAAATTGTATATTTTTATTATTTATTTTATATTTTTTTATTTTATTTTATTTATATATTTAATTTTACTTTTTTTGTTTTCATTTACTTTATTTTATATCACATTTCTTATTTTACTATTAGTTAATTTTAAATTTTAGAGTTGAATTTTATTAAAAAGTCAACAACCACATAACTGAAGGCAACGTAAAAAAAATATAGAACTTATAAATATAAAAAGTCTACTGCTACTACTACTAATATATATATATGTACACACATGAAAACATTTCTGTCCATACCCTGCAAAAAATTGTGCGACTAATCTCTAAAGAGAGTATTCCGAGATTACTCTCAATCGGGTACAATTGGGCATTAATTAGTCCCAACTGGTCTCATACGGTTACTAATGGAGGTCAATTAGTCTCGACTCATCCCTTATGGGTATAATTGTAGATCAATTAGTCCCCAACTCATCTCTAACGGGTACTATTAACGATTTAATGATATGTACGCACTTAGTCAATGCAATTTCATGTGCGGCGTTGGCACATAGAGAAAGTATTCGCCTAACAAAACTGAGCACCCCGGTTCGAATCTCAGCTGGCGCAAATTTTTATTTTTAATTTTTAAAAGTGACTAGTCGCTTTTTATACCCGTTCGGGTATAAAGGGGAACAATTAGTCTCTTCATAGGACATGCTGGAACAAAAGCGAACGGTTCATTCCATATAAAGAGATCAAAAGTGGTATTAGTCGCATGCTCCTTTGCGATTGCTCCCGGAGTCATCCCGGATTAGTCCCATTTTTTGCAGGGCAAGTACATATATATGCCAATCAGCACATCAACGAAGCCTGTTTGCTTCATCATAAATATATCCACACAAACATATGTACATATGTACGAATGAATGTAGTTACGCGAAGCAAGCTTGCATATACATATATTGCTTGGTAGCGGCAGAGCTGAATTGCGCAATGAGTTCGTTCATATATATATATATATATGTACACATACCAGGGAACTGCAATTATTCGTGTTTTTAAGTTATTGGTTGAATAACACAAGAAATAGTTAGGTAGTTCACAAGGTGTCGTATATTGTCACTTATGTCGTAAGTCATAGTTTCGTACAACTGTTGTAGAAACGTTGTTGCTGTTTCAAATGCAAAAATATAAGTTCGACGATACAACTCTGCGCCCTGTGTTTATTCTGTGTTACTTTGGATCAGCTGTGTTTGTTTATGTTTCTTCTTCTTCTTCTTATTGTTTGCATTTAGTTTGATCAAATGGTCGCAGATTCATTAACTACAAAAATAAGTAAAAAACATGAGCACAAACGGCGATGTTGAGGTAAATATATCAAACAGATTAAATACTTCTTTAATTTAAACATACATATGTATGTGTATATTCGTTTTTAGTTTACACCAAAACGCAAGCGCTACAACCCTCAAAAGCGCTGGGAAGTTGCCGAAGAAAAAGCGCTGATTGAATTCCTTCAAGAGAATCGTGATTTTGAGGTTTTATGTTATTTTTCAGGGTAAATGGAAACCGCTAACTACTTAGTTATTTACAGAAACCATCGGGACGGATATTTTATAATCGCTTTGTAAATGAAAAACAAATTGTGGTGGAGTGGAAATCAGCGCGTTCAAAAGTAAGAAATATGCGCTCTGCATATAATAAAGCGAAGGAATGGGAAGGCGGTACTGGCGCAGGTTGCATGGATGGCGATACTATAAGAAGTGAGTTTGTTTCTTCAATTGAAAACCTAGCGTTCATAAATAATTACACAACTTTTTCTATAGGCGTTCTGCTCAAAAAGTTTCGCTATTTCTACGAGTTTGACGATATTTTCGGCGCTCGGCTAAACGCTTGCGCTGTAGTTGAAGAAATAATGGAAACTGCTGATACTACCATTGAAGTAGCAAGTCCTGTGCAAATCGAAATCCCTGTTGTAAATGAAACTGCGACCACTACTAGCCAAAGAGGAATATACTCCAGAACAGTTGCTTCCGACATTATGCAAATGCAGGGCGAAATAGTAAAATTGCGAAAGCAAAAGTAAGAGGCAGATGTAGCTGCAAGAGAAAGAGAGTTCGAGCAAAAAGAAAAAGAGTTGAAATTAAAAGCTAAAGAAGTTGAGCTTAAGGAAGTGGAAATATTAGCCCGAAAACACATTGAGCAACTAGAGCTGCAGATGAAGGAGCGAATTGCTATGGAGGAGCTAAGGCTGAAGTACAAATAAGTTTTGTAAATAAATTTAGTATGACAGAAGACTGAAATATTTATCACACATGATAAAATCAACATTTAGCGAATTCTAGTATCTGATTTAATGTTTTAAATTCGCGTTTTTAGTATTCGTCAGAATGATATATGTTCCTTTACTTAATAAACACGGAAGTGTATATAATAGGACGTGGATATCAAATGAGAGAAAAATGAGAAGGAAAAAGAAAAACTTTTTGCAATTATTTTTTTAAGAGTTGTGAAAAATAAAACTTTGCAAGCCTTAATGTGAATACTAAGCGGTAAAATTTTCAACGACCATTTTTCACGAGTTTTGAAAAGATTATTGCAAACGGAAAAACGATTTTAATTATTATCATTTTCGTTGTTGGTGTTTTTTTAATTATCTTTCACATTTTCAATCTTTTGATATCCAATTCCATATTGCACATTTTTATGGGATTAAAAGTGTTTTCGAATATGAACTGAAGCTTCCTAGTATTTTAAAAAGTATGACGTACAGATCAAAACAAAAAACGCAGATTTAAAATATTTGAGCCCAAGTATCAACCATATATATATGTATATATCCTCATTTGGGAAAATCTGACGCAAGATGTTATGTGACTATTTATTCTATTATTTACTTTTGTTTTAAAAGACATGGGCTCACAAATCACTTTATACGATAGTGAGCATGTTTACGCCATGAATTGTTTTTGTTTAATATTAGAAATTCATACATACGTATGTAAGTACATACATATGTCCGTACATACATACAAATGTAAAACTAAATAAATGTGCATATGAATGTGCAATCTGTTTAAACGTGAAGTATTTGTTTGTTTTAAGGGAATATGTACCTACATATGTATATTCGAACGATGTTTTAAGAAATTGGTCGAAAAATTGATCAGAATCGAAGGAAATTTTGGCATAGTATTGATATGATATCTGGTTCTATGATAGGGTGGTGGCACCTGCCATATTCGTGAAATTTTTAATCAGCTGTCACTTTGGAACCATGATTCACATGCGATTCAAATGTACTTGGTCGACGTCGGGTACTCTGCTAGTACGTAAATAAAAATGCTCAGGGTGAGGAAATAAATAAATTGATCCTTGAAAGTGTACCCGTCCGTATTAGCTCACAATCACACATTTTTAGTGATTCATCGTTTTTATTTATAAAATATATTAAAGTAAAACAAAACACAGGCCTGCGAAAACGTATTTTTTCGCCCCACTCCAATAATTTTTTTGTTTTTAATATCTAGGTATGTTAAATTAAAATAGGTAAATCTTCGGTTTTTTGTAGCACGTGGGGTTTGTATTTTGGTGACATGTATATATTCGAGTTTTTAGCAATTTGCAAGAAAACTAAAAATTAACAAATTTAGAATTTAATTTTTACTTAAAAATCAAGATTATTAGTTAAAAATACCCATAAATAGACTAAGTAAATCAGAAAACCGTATGCAATTTCGAAGTAAACGCTAAGAAAATTGATAAAATCATTTTCTTAGTGTTAACGCATTACTAGCGTAAACTTCGAAATTGCATAAGTTTTCTGAATTACTTAGTCTCTTTGTGGGTATTTTTGACTAATACAGTTGGTTTTTTAAGTAAAAATTCAATTCTAAATTAAATAATTTTTTGTTTTTCATGCAAGTTGCTAAATATTCTAACATACATATCTAGTACATCTCACCAAAATGAAGAACCTCGACGTGCTACAAAAAGACCAAACATGTATTTTAATTTAACATACCTAGATATTAAAAAAATAACATAATTATTGGAGGGGGAGGGGACAAGTCAAATTTTGCAACCCTATTCTTAGTAGGTAGATATAAAAACTAAGCAGCTTCATTTTGTATAAAGTTTAACAAAAAATCTCTGGTGTTACAATCTAATGGTAGGACGAACTGGGGAACTGGAACTTCATTTCTGCTTTCCTTTTCGATTTGAAAATTAATAAGAATGTTGTGAAGAATGCAGCACACAGTTATCCAGTCGTTGCATCCATTCTTATTTGATCTCGAATGCATTCTGAATTTAAGTTCCTTCAGGCTACTGAATTTTTCCTTCAAAAGGCCAAAGCAGTTCTCCACTCGTACACGGTATTTTGAGAAATATTTGTTGAAAGTGTGCCTTTCTTCTTCTGTGTACTCGCTGCTATTCTGTCTAAATGGCGTAATCAGAAAAGACTTCAGTGGATAAGCACTATCCCCAGCTATCCACTGAGAGGGTGATAAAAAACGCTCCGGATGTTTGAAGAGCAAACTGTTTGAAAACATTTTTGCATCATGCACACTACCCAGATAACCAACTATTAACTGCCTTATTCTCAATTTGTAATCACAAATAGCTTGATGCTTAACCGCATATTGTCGCTTGCGAGAATAGTACAACGTGTGCTCATTAACAGGTGTTTCAGATAGCTTAATCTCAGAACCGTCCACATATCCGACACATCCCGGCATTTCTGTACTGGTTGAGGACACAATTTGCTGCCTCTCTCTTTCATCGGGCCAAAATAGAAATTGAAACTTCAATTTCAAAATGGCTTTAAATATCCTTCTGGTCACATTGTAGATAGTGCCCCCATCACCAACACCAAAAAGGGAAGCTACTTTACGTAGAGATTGCCCATCACCGGAGGATCCTAATCGGTATAGGACAATTTTGAGCTGCAATTCTATTGGAAGCTGTGCTTCACTTGAATTTGTGTTAAAAACTTCGTCATGCTTTATTAAGTTCAAAATATAACACGACTCCTCGGGACGGACCCTAACCATTTGATTGAACCTGTTATCGTCGAACTTTCTGAGCACCGTTTGCTCCCATTTGGATGACTTTGGAAGGCCCAGGTGAACACCCCTGCGATTGTTTAGCACACATAGCATGTATGTATGGAAATTTTCTATCGTTTCATCTTCCTCTTCGCCTGGGAAATAGTAAAGATGTGTAATAAATAAATATATGCCGGTAAAATATGATACTCTTACTCGAACTTAAATCTAGTAAATTAAGCATGTGATTTTGGCACAAAACTGCTACAATTTTATCTTTTTCATTTGCGCGCGGCATGTTAGTTATTTACATTTTAGTGAACAGCTGATTCGGTACTACAATATGTAATTTACAACTCACAGGGATGCTCACAAGCCTAATATTTTTTTAAGATATTTATATACGATTTAAGATTGTACGACACCTTGTGAACTACCTAAGTGTTAGTGGATATTATTCATTGCAGAATATTCACACATATGTACTAACACTACTTTACGCTCGGCACACTAAGCGGGAGCATGTACACCCTGTAGGGAAACCCCGAACTGGTGAACCAAATTTGTAGTTCCGTACTAGATCTTTATCGCCAAAAACGAACCAGTCCGATAGTAACTAGATCGCCACCAGTTCAAAAGCAGCGATATGTGGTACTTTAAAAAAAACAATTTTAGAAATCTTTATCTAAAATGACGAATTTGGAACTGGTTCAAAACTATAGAAAAAGGGATGCAGAACGAACTAGATCTCATCTGCGAATTTTGAACTAGTTCGAATCTACTGAAAAAGGGATGCAGCGGGGGCTTGTTTACTTTACATAGATTTTTGCTTGGCGGGTTTTTCGTTCAAATACGCTTCCAGTCTGCACGTCGGAGATGCTTTTTCATAGTTTGGTAATACAAAACTAATATTTGTGTTATCATCATAACATTATGGGACCTTCTGGAATATAACCAATAACAGTCAGCACATCTGCAAATTTAGCTACAGCCAAAGTTATGTAAACGTGTTTTCAAATGCACAATTTAATTTACATTCATTCAAGCAAATTTGATTTCAGATTGAAAATACATTTCTCTGCAAATAATTAAAAATTGCTACCATGGTAACCCAAAAAGAAAACATCTTGTTACTTTTTTCGTTTACAACTGATTCGAAACTATAGAAAATGGGGTGCAAAGCGAAGTAGATCCCATATGTCGAATTTAGGACTGGTTCTGAACTATAGAAAAGGTAATGCAGCGGGGGACAATTTCCAATTCCTATGACATCGCTGTGTTAAATTCGCCAGTTGTTTGCATGCAAAAGAGATTTATCGCGAACTAGTAGTGGTTCTAAATGTACTAGAAGCGCACCAGTTCAAAACTAGAGATTTTCCCCACAGGGCAATGACTAAGTTCTCTGTTGATATGAATTGGTGTAGTGCACAATTCTCTCATTGAGCCATTAAACAAATTAGTTATACCGAAATGAGTAGGAGCACTAAGAAGCACCAATAGTTCAGTTGAGTGATTTTAGTGAATTTAGTGATTTTCGTCGTTTATAGCAACAAAACATGTAAGTTAAAGTTTTATTTAATAAACTTTATTTTTAAAAAGCTCGCGGACTTTTGTCCGCTCATGTGTTTATTTATTTGAATCCAACTTAAGATTAATTACAATATACAATGACCGTAATGTTGGTTACCAATATGCTGACTGTTGTTTACCGTAATATTGTTGCTGATCGATACATTTAGTAATTTGATGAAATGTTCGTGGAATGCTGATGCAGCGTCTGCGGTTATAACGAATTCACCGGATGTGTTATGGGTGCCACTAACCCATGGGGTTATTGTCCAATTCGAGGTATTGTAGGGTGTGGTGTTAACTTGTACAAGCGACGAGAAAGCGACAGCATGCGAAGGCACACTAACACACTCTCACTTTTAGCTCACACTTGTTTATGGTGGCGCCCGCATGTCGCACAGTGTTGGGACAAGAAATTGTTCCTTCAGTACGAAATCTATACAAAAACTATACTTTCCGACTATAAATTGCATCGACTTTTTAATTTGCTCATATATTTTCTTAGTGCATGCATACATAGATTCCCTTCAAGATCAATGATTTGATGGTATTCATGGGAAAGTTTATGTAGGTACATTTTACACGTTGAACATAAATGTGTATGCACATATTTTAAGGTACACTTCTTAACAAACAAATTTTTTTAAGTTATTATGCATGGATAAAGGAGACATCTTCTTTGAATTCAGTACTAAAGTTTGACATCTTATTTTTAGTATTTCAAGTGCTTATCAAAACTTTACGACACTCACATATTGACAAGATTGGCCATTTATCTTAAAATTATTTAATTTTAATTATTTGTTTATAAAAATGCAGTTTATACTTTAATAAAACCACCAAGGTTCAATTTTTGCGCAACATTAAAAAAAATCAACAAACTTTCGTAAAAATTTCGGGCTTTTAACTAGATTTCCTAGAAATACATGATTTGAGAATGCCGTTGGTAGTCCGATCAATTTAATTGAAGTGCAAGTTTAAAATAGCTGCGACTTATCGTTGATTTTTAATATATATATTTTTTTGATGAAGGTGTTGCTCATTTTCTTCGTAAAAAAAAATCGCGCTAAACAATATGACATTGACGGTAAATTCCAGCTACTTTAAACTTGCACTTTATTATACTAAAATTGAAATAGAAAACTCGTAATTTTTACGAAAGTTTGTCAATTTTTTTAATGTTGTTCAAAGATCTAAACTTATTTTCATATAGTTTTTGCTAAGGAATTAACTATATTTTTATAAACAAATAACTAGAATTAAAAAATAATAAAATAAGTAGTTAACTCTAGTCAATATATAAGTGTCGTGAAGTTATCATATTTAAGAACATAAAGATTTAACGATGACACTGTCTCTAACTATATGAAGCTGATTTCGACATTTTGTTTTAATAAGATTTAGTATCGAAAATATTCTTTCAAAACTTGCCTAGGAATGTGAGGTCGATAGCACACCTTTTGCTATGTTATAATGGTTATTTCAAAACCTTTTTTCAAAACTTACAAAGGCAAAAACGAGAAGGCGAAGACAGAAAGATAAAACGAATTCCCGCAATGAATTTTCAGAGCTACGTATATATTTATAGTATTCATCACAAAATTGTACTAAAAAGTACTGCGTAGTAAACGAAATTATATCAAAAGAGTATAATTGTACCAAAAATGCCAACACTGATGTAGAACAAAGCCGAACACAAATAGTAGGCATGTTTTATTCAACCATCACAAGCAAGTAGCTAAATCTTGGTCAAATAAAACGAAATTAGCTTATTTCCTATGGTAGCCTAATTTTGACAGTTGTTTGACTGCAAATGGTGTCAAAGTAAGTTTTTGCCTCTTTCTGATGGGCTGAAGGAGAAAATTTCTGATGCTGAATGGCAATGCCTCTTGTTCGATATACAAGCCAAGATAGCTTTTCATAAGCCAATATAATTATGTTGGGTAAGTCCTCATACAAAATAAGCTAATAGCTTAAATTTAAATAAAACACGGCTAATATTAAACTCATTGGCGCGTATTCATAGTCCAGTAACTAAGTCGAAACTAACAAAGTTGCAACTTAAATTTAAGTACCAACTTAAAATTTACCTCAATTCATAGTCGCATTTCAGACTTCTACTAAGTAGTTTCGACTTAGTTTACGATATAGCAAAACGAGTGTGAAAATGTATCGATTTTTCTTTACGATATTTTGGAAAAATTACATTTTTATTAAATAATATCAAGCTTGATCATCCGTTTATGTAATTTTTATTTTCATTGCATGATTTTGCAAAAGAATAAGGTATCATTTTCTTGTTAATTGTGTGAAATAGCCAGAACAACCGCAGTGATGTGAAGTCGATGTTTATCGAAAGCATGCTGTGGAACATACAAATAGTAGATATCTAAATGTTATGCACAAATTTACTTTAAAAGAACTAGCGTGAAACTGACTTATTATTTGAAAATTTATCTAAATTATTCCAATTATAAAATTGTGATGTAGCTTTATTCGAATTGTAATACGCATTTAATTTCATCTTCCGATTAAAATGGATCGATCTTTGTAAATTTTAATTGGAGTTTATTCAATATTATCAAAATCCCCCTCTACCAACTTAATTTTTACATATTACGTCTGTTTTCCCTTAATTTGATAAAATACTTCTTCCTAGTTACGACTTAGTTGCAGCTGCAGCCCACGATTGAGAGAAATAGAGATTGCGCCAATCGCGGCACCTATAATCCGCTCTTTGTGATTTTGACAGAATGAGCTGTGTGCGTGACGTCATCTTGGTGCAATTGTTGATTGTGAGCATACGAAAAAAACCAAATAACAATTTCAATATTTGTGCGTTAATATTTCTGCGTGGATTTAAATAATTATTGAGACATTACAAAGCAAAATGAAGTGTGCCGTGGCAAAGTGTAATAGTGAAAACAAAAGGAAAGCGTCCGATATAAGTTTTTTTTCGTTCCCTACGGACGCAAATCTGGCGAAAAAGTGGAAGCAGTTGTGCCGGCGAGGAGATGCATTAAACACTAAATCGAGCTTTGTGCTATGTGTGTGAGCTATGAGCTTCTACATGGAACTATGTTGGTCTTTCATTGGTGAATTGTAGTAGGTATATTTCCATCGTGAATGTAGACAGTTGCTGGGTTTAGTTTTCTGGTAATGGCATACATATAAAAGCAGTTTCTACAGTAAATAGATGCATGAACTTCACTACCTACTTATTTTTGTTAGTACCTGATTCTCTTTAGTGCTGGTATGAGGTAATGCACCAATGGACAATGTCGCCAGGCGCTAACACCACCGGCATCTTACCGCGCTTTTACGTACCTAATACAAAACAGTGCCCAAATTATTATACATTTAAAGGTTCAGCTTAAATTATGTTTTAATTACATAGAATATTTGTTTCCAAAGAAGCCACACTCATGCATCCTCTCGGATATGGTACAAAAGTCATCAAATAAAAGCTGTGGAGTTTATGGTGGTTGACTACCGTCCACAAATATAAATATGCACTCTGCATGGCTTTTTACAATGTCGAGTCAAAAAATTCGCTTTGCTGCACACCTTCCTTTTGGCCTACATGAAATTGCAAACACTGTTAACACATCCCGTTTTTCATGTGCTAAAAATCGTACTTACCTAAAGGGGTACATGTCCAAAATTATTGCTACGTGTTCCTAATTAATCAATCTTTGTATATTTATTGATTCCTACAAAATTGGGCGA